TTGAGAAGTGGGTTGGCTTTTTGACTTTTTGACTTTTTGACTTTTTTGACTATTTTAGCCTAGGCTAAAAAGCTTGGTTTGGGAAGGGCTTTTTGATTTTTTTGACTTTTTTTGTGAGAGAAGAGTGTAATGATTATGGATTGGATGTGATGTTTTGTTTGTTGTGGCTAAAATAGCCTATTTTGTCTTTTGTGACTAAAACAGCTCCAAACATATCCAAACCCACTTGCCAAACCATGCCTAAATAGCAGTGGCTATTATCGTAACGGTAACAATAGCGTTGACGCAGTTACATAGTGTAACAGTCGCAACATAATGATAACAGAAACTGAAATCGTGAATTTTTTAATTCTTTATACAACTTTAGGAAATATACCGATATGTATATTTTTATTTCAAAATCATATTTAGTGAGATTCAAAATGATTTTTAGTATTTTTCTTTAGGTTTAAAACATTATCCAATATATATATATATTAATTTTAATTCATTTTAGGGAATTTTTCTATTGTTGGATTTATTTAATTTTTTTTTTTATGTTACTAATTTCACTTATAGATAACTTCCTATTTGTTAAGAGAAAAAAATGAAATATGTTTAATATTAAAAATAATAGTCTCATAAATATAAGTTCAAAATATAAAATATCAACATAATAAAATAAAAGTAGAAAACAAAAAAATAGAACTATAATGGTTGTAACGATATTGTAACGACAATATAGCGGCCATTACAATCTTTACATAACAGTGACGGTTATTATAGTTGTAAATTTTTGTCACACTATTATAGCAACCGTAACAAGTGACGGTAACAGTCACAACCGTTGTAGTCTCTTTTTAAAACTTCGGTTATAATTTATTTTTTTTAATTATCACTCTCATATGATTGATAATTGTGGATATTATACCCACAAATATCATAACTTATATATAGTAATATACCTGAAAAATGTATAATAAATTTATTTGAATGAAAATTATATCTAACTTTTAAAAGATAAAAAATATTTTCAAGACTTTCTTACTAATGCCACTCTACCACCGTCTTCACCACCACTTACAAACAAATGGGTGAGTAGTCCAAAAAGTGTATGCACCCATAATATAAACCAAAAAATATTCTTAAAAAAAAAAAAATTTAAAAAATTCAAATCTCAAATCTCAAATCTACAGTATATATTTAATATTGTTATTGTGAGACTACAATATTGCCAATAAATCTTGGCCTTTAATTACAAGTTAATTATTTTTCTAAATTCCTAGAACTGTTGTGAGCAGATTTAGGGCTGGCCTTGAGTTTTTGGGGGTCTAACATGAAACAAAAACAGAGGCTTAAATTCACAAAGAAAAAAAAAATCACCTTATTTGATATCACTACCGCCGATTGATATCAAAATAGATATTAAAATGTATTCATATATAAAAAAAAAAAGAGTTACCAAAATTAGGAAAATTTTATTCAATTAAAATGTAGTGGATATGTATTAAATTAATTGTTGTTTATTGAATATGTTGTTTATGAGTGTGGTTGAAGTATGGGTGCATTGTTGTTTGTTGAATATATTGTGTATGAGTGTAGTTGAGATTGAATTAATTGTTTATTCCATTAAAATCTAATAAACAAAGAAGGTGAAAAAAAAAAAAAAAAGTAGAGCAAATTTATTTGTTTTATTAAAATCTGATAAAGAAAGAAGGTAAAAAAAAAAATTAAAAAAAAATTAGGTAGCCTATTTTGGGCCACCAACATTTTGTATGTGTATGTAGTGTTTCTCATTCAGGACTACCAATATTTTGTATATATTTTAATTTTAATTGGGCCAAATCACACTTATAAATAAATATGAGTCTAACAGAATATTTTTGAGTTCTTTATATTGGCCCAAACACAACAAAAATAATTTAAACCTATTTATATTTGTAATATATTATAATACTTTTTTAAATTTAAAAATCCTATTTTAAGTCAATATTTTGAGCGTAGCGTGGATTCTGAGTATTCCCCCAAACACAATTTTCTTCCACGCACATTAGAAAAGAATGAAAAAGGTGCATAAAAGTAAAATAGGTTGCAAGGTTTATTGGTTGGCTTGTTGTCTGTTATGAATTTGACAATCATAAAGGGCAAGAAAAAACCAGCTCTCCTATGTGCAATTGTCGGTGGTCAGTCTTTGACTATTTTGTTTATGAATCAAAGCCGAAAGCTAGTGTGATTCACAAGTCATGGTTTGGCGGTGGGTTTTGGGAGCCCAACTATTGACTTGGGGTCCAATACGGTACCCATACCATTGCTAGCTAGTAGTACATACTAGTAATTGTAAGATTCAATGAATCTTTACTCCTCTTGGGACTTCATGATATGTACAAGTAAAAGGCCAATACAACTAAAAATTTGACCATTTCGCAAAATTTAACTTTTACAATTGTGAAAAAATTAAAAATAGACCCTTCTATATATTTGTGTAAGAGTTTGAGAATATTAAAAATTTACTTACTAGTTAAAGTTCTTAAAATTTCAAATCTTGGAAGGATAATGACAAAATTTAATATAAATGGCCAAAACTAACTTTATAACCCCCTCTCTCTCTCACTCTCTAGGGTTTGTCTACTTAATTTATTGACACCACCTCAATGATATCTACCACTACCTAAATTGCATTCGTTTGCTTTTGTTATTTATATTCAAAATTGTTGTTGTCACCTCTGATCTCTCAGTCTTCTCTATCATTCGACGTTGTATGTGTTTTATTCACTCAAAACAACCATTATTATTACCGATCTGTCATGCACCAGTGCTATCTCTCTATTTGATGCATCTCACTAGGTCAAATCTAGAATTTGCTCACTTTTAATGAAATTTCTCATTCTCATTCTCATTCTCTGTTTTATCTTATTTATCTATTTGTTGATTTATATATAATTAGTTGACAGAAATTGATTGTTGTTATTTGCTTTGTATATTTTTTCTCAATCTAGTCTCTTGTTGCTGTTTGTTGTAGTCAATGAAATTTCTTTGAGTAAAATTAATTACATTGCCATAACTAGTGAGATTTTACTGACTTCAACCAAAAACCAATGAAATTTTTCTGTTGAAGTGTTGTAAAATTTCATAGATATTGGAGAGTAAAATTTCACTATGTTTTATTTTAAAACCAAAATAAATTAAATTAAATTAAAATTTGTCATTTTAAAGTCTCCAATTTTAATTTATTAGTCCTAAATTTGAAATTAGAAACCTATTTTTTTTTTTAATTGGTTCTTAAATTTACAATTTTTAGTGCAAAAATTTATGATTTCTTTCAACAAAACTTTACTATGATGCAACAACAAATACAGTAAATTGTGAACACAATTGTGAGGGCATTTTAGTCCAAAATTGCTCCCATGTTATGTTGGGGGACCTAGACTTATACTGTAAAATTGTTTGTCCTTGAGTTAACATAAAATGTTAGCCAATGAGTTGAATAAAAAAAACCCTACAATTATTTGAAAAAGCTAAATTATTATTTTTATTTTTAATGACTCCAAGAGGTCTTCCTATATCCTAACCAAATTAGAATTCCCCTAAGCTGCAATAGGCAGCAGCCCAAATGCAATGGAATAGTAGAAAATGAGCATTTAACATCTTAATGCCATGAACATCGATATTTTGTGTTCAATTTTAACTCATGTTTATTAGTTTAATAGATGAAAAATGTTTAGTAACTCGAATTTGTATGACCTGAATAGTTCGAATGTATCAACACGGCGTTATTTTGCACCCAAAACGACGTCGTTTTGAGACATTCGAGCCATTTAAATTATGAAAATTTGAATTACCAAGCATTGTTATTAATAGATACTTATAATTTACAAGTACATATATCCAGAATTTAGTTCACAAAGAGTCCAACTGCCTAGCCTAGGAGAGATTCATTGTCATAAAAAATAAATAAATAAATAATTATTGCATATACGTCCAGATAGAGAGAGGGCAGAACCTCTCTTTTAGGTGTTTCCCGACGAAGCTCCGGTGACTTTCCGACAATCCTTTTTCTACTTCTAAAATGTCGATATACATTCCTAGAATATAGTTTTACAATTTTAGAGTATAGATCTGGACTTTTAATGTCTGAAATAGGAGTTTAAAGAGTTTTTTCTTCCGATTTCGACATAGATTTTCAATTTTTTGATACTTACAATGGTTCCCTCCTCTCTAAACCCTTCTCCCATACCATTGTGAGTGTTCTTTTCTCTCCGGCAACAGTGGCAGCGGCAACGGAGACGTTGTCAACAGGAACAACAGGCTTTTAAGCAGATCTTGCTTTCTAGACCACATCTTTGAACATATCGATAGTTTATCCTGGATCATAGCTGTTTTTTTGGTGGATTTGTTTTTTATTTTTTGTTTTTTTTCTTTTATTGTTTGGTTGGGATGACCCTTTGGGGTCTTATTTATATATTCTTGTTGTTTTATTAATAAATTATTTCCCATGTTCTCAAAAAAAAAACAAAAACAAAAACATAAATATTACATAGATATGAAAAGTAAAAATTATAACTCTTTAATGTAGCTCTCATAGTTTTCAATAACCCTATCTCAATGATCTTTACCACCACCTTGTGATCTTGATCTCCAGTACCAGATATTTGCATAATTTGTTTGGTAGATGCATACTTAAATTGTGTTTGGTTGAGGGATTTGAAGAGGGATTTGGAAAGGGAAATGGAAAAGGTAGGTGAAATATGAATAAAATATGCCTAAATTTCACATAGTTTCACACATCTTTTCCTTTTCCCTTTCTAAATCCCTCCCCAAATCCTCCAACCAAACACACCATTAGGGTTCAAAATGACCCTCATGAAACATTGACACAGCTAAAATGAATTTCCTACAAAACCATTAGCGTGGTCTCTCTATCTATCATCTTCCTAAAATACACACGATCCTCAAACAAAACTGTCGATGTGCCTAACACACATCTCATACCGATACTCATGTCATGTTCTCATGCAACATCATTTGACATCACACCATATGATTCAACTAAACAACACCGTCAAATTGTCGGTAGCTTTTGATCATTCAAGTAGATTAAGGTTTCATTTACAACTATATCTTAGCCACAAAATGACCTGTGGTGCTAAGTTCATTTCATAAGAATTGATTAACACACCACAAAAATTGTCCATACCTTTTGTATAGTTTTGAAGTTAAAGATACCAGAAACATCAGAATCTTAGTTAGCATCGCTGCCCCAAGCATCGTCCCTCATACTTTGTCTAGAAACTATACGGTTCCTTCGGGTTTCTTCCTGTTTCTTCAGTTCTCTAGACCCAAAGTTTGTGGACGGCAACTTTATTCCCATTCCCTGAGCAATCAGCCTTCTAGCAGTTCTTGTTGATGTCGCAGGCCTTTGACGAGGCGGCTCGAGATCTGAAAATGAATATTGCGATTATTGTCGTGTTCCATCAAATAGCAACGAGAAAGCTTTTTTTTGGAGAAAAAATAGTGATGATATAACAAATGGAGACAATTAGCAATCTCCATTGTTGTCGACTACAAATCAGTAACCATGTAAGAATATCACCCATTAGAAAAGTGGTCCCAAACCTCTATTGCATATTTAGTCTACCAAGCCAAGTACCTAGTTGTTCAAGCTTCACTAAGCTTGAAACTACACCCTGGGCTTTAGGTATTTATGCATATTTAGTTGCTCAGTGAGCTTGAGAAATCCTACATGAGCCAATTATAAGCAGTTATTGAACAACTCAATTCATCTGCAACCCAACAGGAGGGCTCCAAAAACAATGGTTACAAACAATGTCCCCAAAGCATCATGATGATGTTAATAAAGACCAAAGTAATGAGAAAAATGTGAGGAATGGTCCCCTAAGAGTTATTTAAATGGTTTCAGTATATTCCAGTGAAACCAGTTGGACCGAAGTTGCTATAGTGATATTTTGCTCCACACCCTGAATAATTTCAATTAATTCATCACACAAATAACTTTCAAAAAACTCCTTGGGATAATATAGTTGAAACCTATGGGATTCACAGGTCATCACATTTTATCTAATTTGATAAACATGCTCCTCTAGAATCCAGAAGAAATAGAAGAGGGATTATCACATGTTACCTTTTGGAGGGATTGAACTCAAGAGTATATCATCCTCGTCAAGTATGCGCACTGTGAATGGACATTGAATATGGTTACATGCCTCAAGTGCTGCATTATCATAAGACTGTTATTGTAAATTTACCTGAAATCCAGGCTTAAAATGCACTTCAAACCTTACAATTAATAACCATAATGACAATACAAACAATAACAGAATACAAGAGAGGAATGAATGGGATATATTTAATCAAAAGAAGTTGTAATAGTAATAAGAAAAGGAAGCACAATGCATAACCAGTCGAACCCAGGGAGATGGATAGGTAGATGGAACAAGGTAAAATGCATGAATCTTTTAAAATTCTCTCTCTCTCTCACTCACTCATACACACACACACCGCAATTGCAACAAATTGCATGCTTCAACAACTACACATGCACACCCCAAAACTTGAGATGAGAAAGCAAGATCGCCACACCTTTTTTACAATGAAAATAAGCCTCGCAGATGTTTAAAATAGTCTCTACCATGCAACTGGTAATTGACACGAGGAACTACTGGTAGGGTAAAAACAAAGCTTTAAGTGCAATGGCTTGAAAAATATTTTCATTTGCATTTTGAAATGGCCGGAGTCAGTACTTACTTTTTGTTTAGGGTATAACCAAGAACTCAAAAAATTTGACTCCAACAAGGCATGGTCTAAGTTCACCAAAGACTAATCTCATCTGATAGAAACTTATTTACTAATTAGTCAAAAATACAATTAAAAGTCATTATTACCCATCCATATCCCTTCCCCCAGCTGCCTTCCATCACCCTTCCATTCCTGCCGCAATTCCTCTCTCCTCCCTCATAGCATCAAAAGTGGGAAGAAATTAATGAACACATTTTGCAAACTATGACTGATCCAACCCACTGTACTTCTATCAATAACACTATGAGCCCCTAATTTATCCCAATCTCTACATTGGGAGGCTCCTTACGTCAGTTAAGATATTAAATGTGTGTATATATATATAAGTATGTTGGGAAGAGGTGAACTAGGGTAAAAGGAAAAAGATCGGGACCCCTAAAAAAGCCTCTCCTATCACTACAACATTTTATACTTTTGGTGACCAAAAGGAATTTAGTCACCAAAAGTGGTAGAATAGGTGACTAAATCTTATATTGTTCAGCGTTATTTCAGGGTTTGGTTACTAAATTTTTTTAGTCAAGGTACATTATTTATTGGCGACAAAAAACATTTAGTCACTAAACATGCCACAATAGGAGGCTAAAACAATATTGGTCAGCGTTAGTTTAGGTTTTTAGGCTACTAAAGTTTCTTTTAGTCATGGTATACCAATTTTGGCCTACTAAAATAAATTTAGTCACCAAAAAACTAGCATAATGTTTGCTATTAATCTTTGGCGACCAAAAAATTGGTCGGTCAATGTTTATTTCCGGTGATCAAAAAACTTTTAGTTGTATTATAAATTATGGTTCTCTAGCATTGCTCAAGCTAAAAATGACATTCTATTGTATTTTTGACTTATCCATAAAAAGTTCATATTCTATTGACTTGAGAAGAAATTTTTATTTAATTTATTTAACTATAATAAACTCACCATTTATTGCCGCAAGTATAGTAATCTCAATTTTTAAAAGAGTATTGTACCCGTATCAAAACGCACTTCCCCAAGTCAAATAGAGTCTCCTAGTTACTATGATTTAGAGTACACCTTAGACCACATGTGCAGTGCACTATGTATTTCTAGTTAAGTGATCATATTCGAGGACACATGTAATGGCATTGCTATAGAATTCCACGAGGCAACTGATATATTTACAAATAAAGAACTTATAACATGCAATTGCAAATACTCATCCATTGCTATATTATTGCAAAACATGCAAGTAGAAATCTCAACAAGTAGCGCATTACATCTATTATTAAGAAGAGGAAATGCCCCTTTCATAGCACTCTATACAAAAAGTAGTCGATACACATGTAAACCAGCAAACCCTTCAGCCATGTAACAATCCTCATCAGGCAGCCATGGAATTATGTTCCAAACCACAAACATATTTGTTAAAATCAGGATCCTACATGGGAACGGTATGAAGGTCTCATATATCAGAGATCATAAGAGTTGATCGAGGATCATAAGATTCTACTTTCTATAAATAAATAAAGTAAAAATACCAATAAGGATGATACATATAATAAACAATGTGAAAACTCACCAGCTCCTACGAACCTACATGTGATCCTACCTGCAATACAATCCTACATGATCCCACATGATCCTACTTGTGATTCTACTATAATACCGATTTTACAAAAATTTGAATCGTTTTGACATTTTAGGATCATATGATCTGGCAGGGTTTGAAGACGGGCTGGGTAGCTAGGAAAGTCAAGTTAGGATGGATTTTGATAACCATGCCCACAAAGCTATAAAAGTAGAACTCTATATTCTGATTATTCCTAAAAATCAAAGTTCAACAAGCTACCAATGCTGAACTATCATAACATAACACCACCTTTCCATAAACATAAGTGAACAAAAGAATGACGAATCACACACTGCAAAACATATTTGTGTCAAGGGTCCTAGCTATGTAACTGCTCAAGATATCATCTCACCGCATTAAGTGGAAATTGTTACAGAACATATAGAGCTAGCTTGATGGGATCAATTGATTTTTGTATTCCATAATGTTAACCATATGATATTTAAATCAGTTTAGCACATAAAACTCAACAAGATCAAAAAAAGAAGAAGAAACGAGAGAGAGAGAGAGAGAGAGAGAGAGAGAGAGAAAAGAAAGTATTATTACCAATAGCTGGTGTTCTAAACACTGCAAGTGCAACGGTATCATTGACCCAACGAATCTCAACTCCACGGTCTTTGAAGTTCTCCAACAGCTTCTCTAGGTCAGCTGTTCTAGTACTTGTTGGAAAGTCGGCAAGAACAAGAACATGCCGTGTCCCGTATTTCACTGAAATCGTAGAAATGACATATCATATCCTGTATGTTATAGATTATAATGAACATACAATTTTGAAATATTTTCAACAGAACATTAACAAACTGATCAGAGAAAGCAGCATTCAGACGCAATGAAGTGCCATAGTCAATGTAACCTTAATGCTTACTGTTAAGTGTTAGGGGTATTTTGGTCTTTGTGTCTTATTCTTATTAGTATAAATAGTTGTGTGTTAAGGAGGAAACCCTACGTTTTAAATAATATATATAGCAGCTGGTTCTCTCTCTCTCTCACAGTTCTGCAACTTCTCCTTCTCCTTCTCCTTCTCCTTCTCATCTATCCATTCAACATAGTATCAGAGCAATCCTCCCTGAAGATTGTTCCTCTCCTTCCCTCGTTCTTGTATATGGTACGTTTAAGAAATAATAATAATAATAATAATAATAATTTTGTATTATGCTCGAAAATTGATGGGCATTCATCCTACAATCTCTTTTTGATTTTTTGGTTATTATTGATTGTGTTTTCCAATTTTTTTGATTTTTCGTCAAAAAGTGGGTGATTTTTTGAAAACCACTAGTTGCACCCTTTTTGCTTGATTTTTTTCCTATCCCTCACATCCAAAGGAGCCGACTGGGCCTCTAGAGGGTTGTGTTGTCCTTGTTTTGTTGTATTTTGGCTCTCCCTTGGTTTTTACCTAAGTTTTGGATGATCTGCTTCAATGTTTGGGGTCCTATGTGATTTGGTTACGTTATTCTGGGATTATTTTGCACTGTTTCAGCCTTAGAAGGTGCTTTGCTGTGCTTGTTAGGTTTTGTCAGGACTTGTTTGATATACTGTTTTTGTTTCTACCCCATCTTTCTCTTATCTCATGGCTGAACGCGAGGGTCAGTACTCTAAGCGCAAGGAGGACAGTGGACTGAGTCGTGGTATGACTCTGGGTGATAGTCCTTCTCTCCGGATTAGTCCGGTCAAGCTTAATGGCACCAATTACTTGATTTGATCCCGCTTCGGCAGTCTTGCCATTACCGCCCGGCGTTTGACTGGCTATATTACTAGTAGTACCAAGCAACCTACTGAGGACAGTGCTTTATCTGCTCAATGGATTTCGGAGAATGCTTTAGCGAGGACTTGGTTGATCAATTCTATGGAACCTACCATTAGTAGGACTTTTCTCTTGATGGATACCGCTCACAAGATCTGGCTAGCGACATCTCAGATGTATTCTCAGCAGGGTAATGATGCACAGGCTTATGAATTGCAAAAGAAGATTAGGGGCTTGGATCAGAAGGATCGCTCTCTGGCAGTCTACTATGCTGAGTTGAGTGGTTTATGGCAAGAGCTAGATTGCTACCAGAGTTTCCAACCCGTTTGCTCCACGGATGCCACTATGTTTCAGCAGGTGGTGAAGAAGGAGCAGGTGTATGACTTTCTTGCTGGCCTGAATTTGGAGCACGATTAGATCTGGGTTCAAGTGTTGGGTCGCTCTCCGTTTCCCACATTACATGAGGCTTATGCACTAGTTCAACAGGAGGAGGAGAGTCGTGGTCACTCTACGGTGCATGCCCCTGTTCAGGACAGGTCAACGATGGTTGTTGGCCCCAAGTCCCGTGGTACTTCGCCTTGTCCACCTCAGGGTGGTGGTAAGGGTCCATTGGTTGATCGAGACCGTTTGAAGTGTGATTATTGTGGGAAATATATACATGATAAAGAACACTGTTGGAAGTGGCATGGTTGGCCTACTCGAGGCCGTGGTCGTGGTCGTGGTCGTGGTGTTCGTCCTCAAGCCCATGTGTCTGAGACTGCTGCTAGTGCCTTGGATGATGCTGGTTCTATTTCCCAGGATGAGCTTCACACTCTCATACGTTTGATGGCTCGACTTGATTCTTCCTCTACCTTAGCTCCTTCCTCTTCTGTCTCTTCCAACTTTGCCCACACAGGTATTTCTGCTAGTGCACTTAGTACCTCTTCGTCGTCTCCTTGGATCATTAATTTCGGTTGATCAATTCTATGGAACCTACCATTAGTAGGACTTTTCTCTTGATGGATACCGCTCACAAGATCTGGCTAGCGACATCTCAGATGTATTCTCAGCAGGGTAATGATGCACAGGCTTATGAATTGCAAAAGAAGATTAGGGGCTTGGATCAGAAGGATCGCTCTCTGGCAGTCTACTATGCTGAGTTGAGTGGTTTATGACGAGCTAGATTACTACCAGAGTTTCTAACCCGTTTGCTCCACGGATGCCACTAGGTTTCAGTCTATGTTACATGGACTCGTCACTTTGGGGCGAAGTACCCGTGTCGACACGGGTGCGGGTGTGAGATCTGTGTCGGATTCGCCTCGTCTCTCTCGGACACGCACTTTACAGACAGCAAAGAAATGGAAGAGGAGAAAGGAAGAGAACCTGGTCACTGTTGGCTTCGATCATCGATCACGATTAGGGCTCTCACTGTTGATCACGATCGTCTTCGTCTAGGGCTTCGATCGTCTTCGTCTAGGGCTTCGATCACTGTCGATCTCGACCTCGAGCTCGATCGCCTTCGTCTCTCCCTTCGTTTCTGCTTCTCTCTCTCTCTCTTCGTCTCGTCTCTGCTTCTCTCTCTCTCTCGTCTCTCGTCTCTCAATCTGTTCTCTCTCTTCGCCTCTGTTTTATAGAATAGATATATACCGATCATATATAATATATATAATATAATTTATCATATATAATAATAATTTAAATTATTATTCATATTACATTTACATTAATATATAATATATAGTATAAATTACATTAATATAATAATATGTAATATTATTCATCTAAAAAAAATTATATAATACAATAGATATTATATAAATTATATAGATATTATATAATAATTATTGTATAACATATAAGATATTTATAAGATAAAATACACTTATATATATTAATAAAAATAAATAAACACATATAAGTAAAATAATTATTTGTTATTTATATAATATAATTCATCTTATTAACTATTTTAATATATATATATATATATATATATATTTAACGTATCCCCGTACCCGTATCCAAATTTGGATACATATCCACGTATCTTTAATTTTTAATTTTGAAGTGTCCGACCCTTAAATACGCACCCGCACCCGATCCTCGTACCCGCGTCCGTGTAACTTAGGTTTCAGTAGGCTGTGGAGAAGGAGCGGGTGTATGGTTTTCTTGCTGGCTTGAATTTGGACTATGATCAGATCCGGGTTCAGGTGTTGGGTCGCTCTCCATTTCCCACATTGAGTGAGGCTTATGCAATGGTTCAGTAGGAGGAGAGTCGTCGTAGTGCTATAGTGCATGCCCCTGTTCAGGATCGGTCAGCGATGGTTATCGGCCCTAAGTCCCATGATACTCCACCTTGTCCGCCTCAGGGTAGTGGTAAGGGTCCATTGGTTGATCGGGACCAGTTGAAATGTGATTATTGTGAGAAAGATAGACATAATAAAGAACACTGTTGGAAGTTGTATGGTCGGCCTACTCGAGGCCGTGGTTGTGGTGGTAGTGTTCGTCCTCAAGCACATGTGTCTGAGACTGCTACTAGTGCCTCGGATGATGCTAGTTCTATTTCCCAAGATGGGCTTCACACTCTCAGACGTTTGATGGCTCGACTTGATTCTTCCTCTACCTTAGCTCCTTCCTCTTTCGCCTCTTTCAACTTTGCCCACACAAGTATTTCTGTTAGTGCACTTAGTGTCTCTTCGTCTCTTTGGATCGTTGATTCCGGTGCTACTGATCATATGACGGGTACTTCTAGTTTTCTCCATTCTTATTCACCTAGTTTTGGGCGAGATAAAGTTAGAGTGGCTAATGGTACTTTATCTTCTATCTCCGGCAAGGGTTCTCTTCATTACACCTCTTTACTTTTGCTTTCCTCTGTTCTTTATGTTCCTAATTTTTCCACTAACTTACTTTTTGTTAGTAGCCTTACTACTGCTCTCAATTGCTCTGTAACCTTTTTTCCGACTCATTGTGTCTTTCAGGAACTGGTTACGGGGAAAATGATTGGCAGTGGTAGCACACACAGTGGACTGTACTTTCTGGATGTTGCTTCTGCATCAGCTTTGTCCTCTCAAGCTCTTCAATGCACTTCTGGCTCCTCCATTTGCCTTCTTCATCAGTGGCATCGCCGTTTGGGGCATCCTTCCTTTAATATTTTAGAGAAACTTTTTCCTTCTTTAGTTCGAGACTGTCCTAGGAATAACTTTGTTTGTGATGCTTGTGGGCTTGCTAAGCATAAACGTACTTGTTATCCTTCTATTAATAAAAGAAGTACTTTTCCTTTTATGCTTATTCGTACTAATGCGTGGGGTCCTTCCCCTATGGTTTCTACCTCTGATTATGGGTGGTTTGTCACGTTTATTGATTGTCATTCCCGTGTGACTTGGATTTATTTACTTCGCACTAAAAATGAGGTTTTTTCGTGCTTCAAAAATTTTCATAAAATGGTTTTCAATCTCTTCAATGTTACTATCAAAATTCTTAAAAGTGATAATGGGACTGAATATGTTGATGGACCTTTCAGGGCATATCTCGAGGAGCATGACATTCTTTATTAGACTAGTTGTGTTGGCACTTCTGAACAGAATGGAGTTGCTGAACGCAAGAATGGCCACCTCTTTGGGGTTGCTCGCTCTGTCTTGTTTACCATGATCATTCCTAAGTGTTTTTGGGGAGATGTTGTTCTTACTGCGGCTTACCTGATTAACCGTATGTCCTCTAGTGTCCTCCACTTCCAAATTCCTCTTGAGCTCCTTCCTGTCACTTATCCCACTTCTTCCCTTCTGTCTCAGGTTTTTGGTAGTTTCTGTTTTGTTCATCTTCAGCATCGTACTCGTGGGAAGCTTGATCCTAAGGCTGTCCAGTGTGTCTTTCTTGGTTATTCTGCTACTCAGAAGGGTTACAAATGTTATGACCCTCACACTCATAAGCTGTATGTTAGTATGGATGTCACCTTCCGTGAATCTGAGTCATTTTTTCCTTGTCACCCGCTATCTCCTCAGGGAGAAAGTGGTATAGATGAGATTGCGGATGAGACGGAGACGACATCCTATCAGCATGAGTTTGTCTTTTTTTCCTTCCTAATCAGCGGGCTGTTATTTGTGGTGAGAGGGAACCTACGAGTTCTGTTGATGAGACTAATGTTGGTGGTCGTTTGGACAGAGTTGATCTTAAAACTTATTCACGGTGTTAGAAAGAGCGGGCTTCTCTTGTGCCACTAAGTCAATCATCATCTCTTATGCCAGTTCCACAACCAGTTTTCACTGACTCTACAGGTAATGATCCTCAGTCCATTTCTTCACTTGTTGTTGATAGTCCTGTTGCTGATGATCTGAGTCTTCTTATTGCTCTCAGAAAAGGGGTTAGGGCCTGTACTCAACACCCCATTTCTAAATTCGTGTCATATGATTCGTTGTCTTCTCCATATCGTGCTTTTGTTTCGTCTCTTTCTTCTGTGTGTATTCCGCAGGGTTGGAAAGAGGCCATCAATGATCCTAAGTGGAAGGTAGCTATAGTAAAAGAGATGCAAACTTTGAGTAAAAATAACACATGGGACTCGGTGTCTTTACCTAATGGAAAAAAACCAGTCGGATGTAAGTGAGTGTTCACTATCAAGCACAATGCAGATTGGACAATTGAACGGTACAAAGCAAGACTAGTGGCCAAGGAATTTACCTAGACATATGGAATAGACTAGCAATAAAATTTTGCCCCGGTAGCAAAGATGAATTCCATACGAGCTATTCTGTCGTGTGCTACTAACTTGGGATGGCATCTATAACAACTAGATGTGAAGAATACTTTTCTTCATGGGGATTTGGAAGAGGAGGTATATATGGATGTGCCTCCAGGATTCTCATCACAGTCTATAAATGGAAAGGTTTGTAGATTGAAGAAGGCTTTAGACGGTTTGAAACAATCTCCTAGAGCCTGATTTGGTAAATTCCTAAAGGCAATGCTGGGATTTGGGTATCAGCAAAGCAATGCCGATCACACCTTATTTGTCAAACACAATGTACATAAGGTAACAGTGCTTATTGTATATGTGGATGACATAGGGGGTGTTTGTTTCAGCTTTTCAAAACTAACTTATGGCTTTTAGCTTTGAAAAAGTTATTTTGGACTGTTTGGTTAAACTTATTTCAAACAGCTTCTGATTTTAACAGCTTATTTTAACTCAAAAAAGCTGATTCTGAGAATCTGCTCACCCATTGCTTCTGATTATCAGCTTCTGTTGTGGACATGTTAATTTATGGTTATACTCTTAGATTTTTTTATTTTTTATTTTTTTAAAAATAGAAAAAGACCCAAATGGATTATAAATTATTATTATTATTTTTTATAAGAAATGTAGACAAACAAAAAAAAAATTAATTGAAAAAACTATTTCACAGTTTATTTAACAAACATTACTCAGCAACTTAAATCTATAATCCAACAGTTACACCAAACAGATTAATAACTTCTGATTAAAGTCATAATCTATAATCTGTTAACCTATAATCTATAAGCTGTTTTAACAGCTATACCAAACGGAGCCATAGTTGTGACGAGTAATGATGAGGATGAGGTGACCCATCTCAAGATGCTGTTAGCTAAGGAGTTTGAGATAAAAGATCTTGGTCCATTGAGATACTTTATTGGGGTTGTAGTTGCTAGATCTGATAAAGGCATCTTCATTTCTCAAAGGAAGTACATTCTAGATCTTCTTACGGAAACGGACATGTTAGGCTACAGACCAACTGAGTCATTGATTGAGACTAATCATCGTCTTTGTAGTGGGGTTGGTGAGCTTGTGGAAAAGGAAAGGTACCAAAGACTTGTAGGAAGACTGATATATCTATCTCATACTCATCCAGATATTACCTATGCAATTGGGATAGTGAGTCAGTTTATGCATGATCCTCATGCAACTCATTTGGATGCAGTCTATCGCATTTTGAGGTATCTTCAATCTGTTCCTGAAAAAGGAATTTTGTTCTCTAATCATGATCACTTGAGGTTGGAAACGTTCATAGATGCAGATTGGGCAAGCTCTATAGATGACAGACGCTCTACCTTTGGTTACTGTGCTTTTGTAGGGGGAAAATCTAGTCACATGGCATAGCAAGAAGCAAGCGGTAGTATCCAGATCTAGTGCTGAAACTGAATACAGGGCTATGGCACATGAGACATGTGAACTAATGTGGCTTCAATCTTTGTTGAGTGATATAAGGCTTGATTGCTGTGATCTCATGACTTTGTATTGCGACAACAAAGCTACTATTAGTATTGCACACAATCCTGTTCAACATGATCGGACCAAGCATGTTGAGATTGACTGGCATTTCATTAAGGAGAAGTTGAATAAGGGTGTGATATGTATGCCTTTTGTTAAGCCTGAAGATCAACTGGCGGATATTTTTACTAAGGGTCTTAGTAGTAAAGTCTTTCACCCTATTTGTTGTAAGTTGGGCATGAGAGACATCTTTGCACCAACTTGAGGGTGAGTGTTAAGTGTTAGGGGTATTTTTGGTCTTTGTGTCTTATTCTTATTAGTATAAATAGTTGTGTGTTAAAGGGGAAACCCTACGTTTTGAATAATATATACAGCAGCTGGATCTCTCTCTCTCTCTCACAGTTCTGCAACTTCTTCTTCTCCTTCTCCTTCTCATCTATCCATTGAACACTTACCCTCTGTTTCTTATCTTTAGTCCAGTCCTTGCTTTTCTTCTTTTCACACTGTTTTACAAGAACTGAACCCAAGATGTAACACACTCCTTAACACTAAGTACTCACATTGAACTAGGCCCATTGTTCTTTGTACTACTTTGGAGAGAGAATGATTGAGTTACAGAGCTGTTGCAAAGTTAATCATCTCTTCATTAAAACCAAAATGTCAGGTCAGTAGTTTTTGCAAGATAGAGCTGCTTAAGTTTGCAATTAACGACCAAAAGGTCCAACATCATCATGAAAGCCAATAATGAACAAATAGAAGCAATATAGGGATTTAATTGTTACTGAAGGACATCTGACTAATCACATCAGCTCCATCCAGATAAATATGACATGTGAAAGAGGAGCATCATACAATATTATCCTATGAAATGTCTAATGCCTTCCATAATTTAGTGCCTTGAGATTCCTAGAAAGTCCAACTTGAATACCTCATACAACTCATTCTGTGCCGTGAGAGTGAGTAGAAGACTTCCTCTAAGAACATCAAGCATATATACAGTGGCAAAAACTAACATTAGTATGGTGTCAAATGTTTTACTGTTCTCTACAAGGCTAATGTGTTCTTGAAAACTTGTGCTATTATGTCTTAATCATAAAGTGGGATGTATTATATCTGTAATAAAAAAAAGATTGCCTGGGATCATGAACACATAGAATGTTTTGACATCAGAGCCACGTTACAGAAAGAAAGATCACGACACTATTAGCATGGATACAGTAAAGATACAATTTGCTAAAAGAGAGTTTCTCTTACGGCGACTAATTATTATTATTTTTTAATGTATTTCTTTTCATATTTTGTTCATAATAACTTGAATTTGAAGTTTTCTGCCTTTTCCCTTATTGTTCTAACTATTTCCACAATGAAATAATTACTCACAAAAAGAAAATAACATCGAGCGTATCAGATCATTGAATGACTCCAATTCAATAACACTGCATACCCTTTCATAGCAATAGTCTTTTCAAAACCCAACTACTATGAACTGGAAACTGTTACAGTAAACGAGATGAAAACACTATATGAAATAGCATAATACACGTCGCAGAATTTAGATGTGTAGCCTTCAAATGCATTTCACATTAATACATACCATTTCTTATCTGTGTATCTCCTTCTGAACTATCACATACAGCTTCATTTTCTGAATTATCAACAACAGACCCATCAGACTGCTGATCACTATACATGCCATGAGTAGTGTATGCGAACATTCCCCTTCCACGCCGCTTAGGAGTTTGAGAATTGGCATCTTCCAGTGATAGTTTCGAGACTTCGGGCAAGCACTGTGGAGAAAGTAGTTCCTCCGGAGCACGATCTGCAATAGCTTCCCAATCTGCAGTTTTTAAAACATTATTTGGGTCAAAATCATCAACAATGTAATCTATGGGAAATAACAATTAGCTATTAGAATTAAAATGTCGTATGGTTAGTAAAGATTATGGTAGTTGAGATAAGGATACTTAGTTGGATCTGTGGAGAAAGACAAAACTAGAGAGGAATACATTCATGAAATGAAATGTTAGGAGTAACACCAATTGAAGTAAAGTTGACAGATTATAGATTAAAATGGTTTGGTCATGTACAATGCAAACTAGTAAATGCAACGGTAAGAAAGGATTCATGAATTTTGATGATTTCTGACGATACCCTTCACTAAAAATAGCCACCAATAATCAATCATTGCCAAGAAAAGCATTGAAAATGAAAACTATTAAAGGAACAGAAATGTACCATCATCTGGACATTCTTTGTGAGGCAAAGCAGAGTCGGGCAATGTTGATGATTTTCCACAATGCCCTTCACAAAAGAACCAATACCCATTACTTCTCAGAAAACAATCAATCATTGGCAAGAAAAACATCATGCAGTCAACCAAAATTGTTAGGATAAATCTCAATTTAACTTGAGGAGCCTTTGAACTATATATAAATCATTGTCAGAGGTAGAATACCAAGTATCTGTCATTTTCATAAATAAATAAATAAATAACTGGGAAAGACAAAACAAACCATCATCATTTAACGGCCCATCACCACTTGAAGCCTCATAAAGTGCAACGCAATTCTTGCCCAAGTCCTCATTTGCATTCTTTAAATCCCTGAACTTGAAAACAACATCAGAAACCAAAAAAGCCATATAATAATAATAACAACCCATTTGGCATTCAAGAAAATGTAGGGGGAAAAAGAAAAGAAAATCTCAAATTTATTATTGCATATCACCAAAAACAGAGTTCAAAGACAGTACAAACATTCAAAGCTTCAATTTCAAAAACCCAAAACACCACATATATATACATACATATATATATATATATATATATATATAACACTTACTACCCAATTGGCATTCAAGAAAATGTAGGGGAAAAAAGAAAAGAAAGTATCAAATTTATTATTGCATATCACCAAAAACAGAAATCCAAAGACAGCAAAAACATTCAAACCTTCAACTTATTTCCTTCTCAATTTTCTAGGCAACCAAACAGAGCAATAATTGAGAAAAATGTTGGAAAAAGAAGATAAAAATCTTACATTTCTCAGTCCACACCAACTAAAATAATAAAAAATAAATAAAAAAAAAACCCATACACCCTCTGTCCTCCTCCAATTTTCTTGGCAACCAAACAGAGAGCACAAAAGGAACAAAGAGAAACAAAGGGTTAAAACCTTGAATTAGAGTCGTGAGACCATTGTTCTCTAACAAGGAGTGAGCGAGAGCGAGCTTGGTCGGCTTTGAGAGAGAAGCCTTTGGTGGAGTAGAGCTTGGCCAAGTCGAAGAGAGCAGAGGATAGTTGAAGATGATCTAATTGCGACGAATTTACGGTTTCGAGCTTCGAAATTAGAGACTCGAGAAGAGAGATGGCTTCGTCGACCCGTCCACCATCGACGAGGTCTTCAACAGATTCGCTCCAGCTCATCTCTTGTCCTTCCATTGGTGTGTGTTAGGATCGCTGCCAATAAAGACACCTTCTTTTTTTTTATTTATTTATTTATTTAGGAAAAAAAAGGGTTTTAAGGTGTGATCACCACGCAATCAGTTGTTAGTCAGTAATTAATCCTTATCATGTGAGTGACCTATTATCGAGGTATTAGAGGAGTTCAACTATATTTCACAGGTCGCTGTGGGTTCGAACCGGAGTACAGAGAGGGTCTCAAAGAAAATACTTCCACACTCGCTCAGAATACAACCTAGGTTATGCTTGTGGAGACGGGTTGCTTTATCCACTGAGCCACCACCTCTGCTGGTTTTGTTTGTTTGTTTTTGACTAAATTTTGCTATGCTTTTCTTGATAGTGTTGCAGGTGTTTTTTTTTAGTAAATTCTCTAATAATTCTATGGTAATAACCAATTTATAATTATATTTAAGAAAAACACACCAATTAAAAAGAAATTATAATTAATTTTATAATTTTATCATCTTTATACCCACTTCTCCTAATTTTAATACGGGATACTACGAGTGAGAAAAAAAAAATTATCTTGGGATGTAAGTGTGTCCTATTCCACCGCAATGAGTTGGTTCTTTTTTTGTTTTGTTTTTTTTTTCTTCTTTTACCTTCTTGAATTTAATATTACATATAAAAATGTCTAAGATTCTCTTTTTTTCTCACCCCTTTTGACCCCCTCTCTCATTAGTTGGATTTTTTTTTTTTTGTTTCCCTTATCCTTCAATCACTACTTGGCACATGTGTGTGGGGGGTGGTGGGGGTAGTGATTGGAGCGAGTCTCCATCACTCCTCAAAAATTTAAAAACATATTTATTTAAATCATCTCAAATCTTACTGAGAGGGAGATTTATAATCTGGTTTTGGGCCGTGGTAGAAGCCGAACAGAAGATGGCCGAGCATGTTTGGGCCGAGCTAACTTGGGCCTATTTAGAGGTGGTTTTGCTCGGTCGTGATCCAGGATCGAGTTGGGAGCGAGCTACTTGGGTTTGTCTGCGTCCAGAATCGGTCTTGATCGGCTGAGGGTCAAGCCTCGTGTATGGGCCGAGCTTACTCGGCCGAGTTGGTTACCTGCCAACCCGGGTTCTATGGTTCGCACGTTTAGCTTGGCGGAAAGGCTTTCTGTTTGCCGGCTCGACCTGTCTGAAACTCTGCTCTAACAGAATACTATTGAGCTTGGTTGTTTTGGAGCTCGGTGAGTGGACACTGGGACTCGTTATGCAGTCCGGTCGTGTGAAGTCGAGGTGATGCCGCCGGGCTGCCGAGTTCCCGGTAATGTTGTCTGGCGGTTTAGTTAGGTGGTGTTCGCTGGATTTGTGCTGACAGATGGGAGAGCAGCTCCACGTGTCAAGAGACCAATGGGTGCAAAGTTGAGCGTAGAAAGTATATAAGCATGACTGCGCCCTCATGTTGGGAATGGAACATTATTTGGTGAGATAGACTTACATTCATTGAGTTTCTCTCTCTCTCTCTCTCTCTCTCTCTCTCTGAGTGTGTGCTAACTTGACCGTCGGAGGGGTTTCCGGCAACACACCGCCGGTAACTCACCGCCGTTGTGCTTTCAGGTTGATTGGATAGATGCGAAACTTGGATGAAAGGAGTATGGATAGCGACGAATATTTACTCCCTGTACACTTACTAATTGTGTAACATCACTTTGTACTAATTTTACCAAGTAAGTGAGAGGTTATTATTATGAAAGTTTTTAGTATATTTTATTGATGGAAAAGGGGACAAGTATATTGCACTTATCTATTATGAGAAATTTATTTTTATTTATTTTTTGACTCTTTCATCTAGTCTTTCTAGTTAGGGTAAATTACACTGACACCCCTTGAGGTTTATGTTTATTACAGTTTTTCCTCACCTTTTGGAAATTACATCTCTCCCTTGAGGTTTATAGTTTCATTACAAATTCCTCCTTCAACAATTTAATTTTTTTAAATACCAATTTTGCCCTCATTGGGTAAATTACATAGACACCCCTCACATTTTAAAAATTACAATCCCCTCCCTAAGGTTTAAAGTAGTATTACCAATTGCTCATTCGGTTAGTATTAGTTGGAAAAAAAAATTAATTGAAAAAAAAAATTTGTTAGTAAAATTTTTAAATTTTTATTAAAAATCAACGTACTCATTTTTGGAATTTACGTTTTTTTTCTCAAATTTACAAACTAAGACAACCATTTATAAACAAAAAAAAAAATTATCAGACAAGTTTTTATGACAGTTTTTTAAATTTTTTTAAATATAAATTGAAAACTGAAAATGAAATGGTTATCAAATAGGTCTCAGATGGTAAAAATGTCGTAAAATTAACAAATAATTAAATAAGTTACCAACGTAAGAAATGGCTTATCAAAAGATTTTTAAGCTATGTATAGTTTGATTTTTAAATTTTTTTAAAAAAATTAAAAATTAATTTGGTTAAGAAATAAAAAATAAAAATAATTATCATTTTAATTTTAATTTTTGGACAAGTTATATACATATGTATGGCTATTCTAATTTAATATGTAAAAAATTATTTCTAACCACTCAAAAGATAAAAATTATATAAAAATGATAATTATTTTTTATTTCTTAATCAAATTAATTTTTAATTTTTAAAAAAAATTTCTAAAAATCAAATCATACATAACCTAAGAATCTTTTGATAAGTCATTTCTTACGTTGGTAACTTATTTAATTATTTGTTAATTTTATAACATTTTTACCATCTGAAGCCTGTTTGGTAATTATTTCGCTTTCAATTTTCAATTTATATTTACAAAAATTTAAAAAACTGTCATAAAAACTTGTTTGATAATTTTTTTGGTTTATAAATAATTATCTTAGTTTGTAAATTTGAGAAAAAATCGTAAATTCAAAAAATGAGCTTACGTTAGTTTTTAAACAAAAATTTAAAAAATTTACAAACAATTTTTTTTTTCAATTAATTTTTTTTCCACTTAATTTTTTTTTTTCCAATTAATACTAACCAATGAGACAATTGATAATGCTACTTTAAACCTTAAGGAGAGAATTGTAATTTCTAAAATGTGAGGGGTGTCAATGTAATTTACCCAGTGAGGGCAAAATTGATATTTAAAAAAATTAAATTCCTGAGGAAGAAAATCTGTAATGAAACTTTAAATCTCAAAGGGAGATATAATTTCTAAAAAATGAGAGAAAAAACTATAATAAACATCAACCTTATCAGTGTAATTTACCCTTCTATTTATGTGTGAACTTTATTTTCCTCATAGTTATTCGAACTTTTCTCTGACAGTTTCGAAAATTCCTTTGTAATAATTGTATTTGAATACATTCATTCAATTTTATTTAGAGTTAATTACCTAAAAATTTTATTTACAAATATTACAGTAGCTCAAGTCTTATTTAAAGAATTTTTTAAATCAATAAGTCTTATTTAGTAAAACTGAAAATATTATTAATTTTTTTTTCTAATTTTTAAAACTAAGAATATTATTAATTTTATATAGTAATGTTTCAAATAATTATTTCACTAATTGATAAAAAAAAAACATAACATTAGATTAAACGTTTTTGCCTCTCTACTTATTGGTTTGATTCAACTATTCAATAAAACTAAAAATATTATCAATTTTTTTCAGTTTTAAAATTGGTAACATAATCAGTTTTCTTCATTTTTAAGAGATTTTTTTTTTTTCCAGTTTTGCACATCAATGTTCCATTAACATACTCCTTAATAGACACAAAATTTTTAGTTTTACACAAAAAAGTAATTCAATTTTTCAAAAAATAAAAAATAAAAAATTTGCACATAATTTTTTTAAAGTTTTTTTTAATTTAAAAGTTGATGTTTTAAAGTTTTAAAAATTAAAATAAATGTCAAATCATCATATTCCATTATAGATAATTATAAATTATGAATAATCATTGTTTGAAAGGCCATTTCGACTATTAAAAATTTAATGAGACTTAAAGGTTCAAAAAATCTTAATTAAGGGTCTCGTTTGAGAACAAACTATTTTAGTATTTTTTTGAATTTTTACGAAAAGATGTGTTAAAAAATAGAAAAAGTGATTTAATAATTTATAATAACTTCTTTTTGACTAAAATAGTTACTCCCCAAAAAAATCTTAATAGAGTATAAATTCATAAATTAAGATTTGCATTTTCATATTCCTTTTATTATAATAACATATGTAAATAAATAACTCTTTACTACTTCCTACAAAATTTATTTCACATCCGGCCCAAATCAATACTCCACCGCCAGGACGCATTTCCACCATTTTAATAATCAAAAAAAACAAAAAAATGAGACCTGTCTAAAAAGAAAAAAGAAAAAAAAGAGTGTAACAGATAACATTGAGATTAATGGTAACCAAATTGCACCAAACTTTAAAACTTCATAATTGACCCTCAAAATTGATCTATGTTCGGTTAGAAAATTTGATTTTATAGACTTATTTTGAATCAATTTTAAGTCTAAATTTGAGTGGATCCCAAATGTCTTTTGGGGTGGGTCTGAAGAGGTGACATGTTTCTTGCCGCATGGCAAGTCACCCGGTGAAGATGGTTCGTCAAAACCATATACGAGTGAATGAGAAGTTGATGTCATTTTCGGGTTCGTGGAATAGGGAATTGAAGAAGTAAAATGTGAGTTTCCTTGAAATGATTATCTCACATGGGGAACTTAAGAGAACTTATGTGTGTATATAAGTTTTAGGTGGCAAGACTTGGGTTGGGCTCCAAGGGGCATCCCAAGTTTGTAAAATGAAGGAGTTATAGACAAATGGAACCTTGGCTCAAACCACCACATGCGCATCGTCCGTCCAACTGAGTTTTTTGGACAAAATTTATTTGAATTTTTTCAAATTCTTGACAGGAAATTATTTGAATTTTAAAATAAAAATTTAAATTCAAATTTTTGTCCAAAAATTGTGCCAACAGATTAATCTGTCACTGAACAGATTCTGTTCTTCCCTTAATAGATTTATAATTGCTAACAGTTTCCAACAGATAGAAACTGCCCAGCAGTTATCTATTCTTCAGTTATTGC